AGGCGGACGGGCTGGCGTGGCTGGAGGACCAGGCGGTCACCTGTGGGCAGCGAAGGCGTCTCTGTTCTCTCCCACCCCCACGCCATCCCCCGTGCGCGCGGCCTGCAGGGGCCCGCCCGAGACGGGCCGGGCTTTCACGCTGGTTTCCACCCGCAGCTGCTTTGTCCTCTGCTGCTCCACAGTGAAACGGCCCCCGGTGAAGATCTCCCGCTTCCAGGTGAAAGACCAAAACCACGTGTCCCTGAAAGCAGCGGCTGGGCTGCACGCTCGCTTCATTCATGCTTCCCCTACCTGGCTCCTCTACGGGCGTTGGAAAATGAACAGGTGACTTGTACGCGCGGAGCGTTGAAGCCACCGCGCCCGCTCCTGACAGAGGCCTTTGTGCGATAGTTTGCAAAGTTCTTGACCTTGCACCGCGGGCTGGATAGGAAATAGCCCTGTCTCGTTTGCGTCTGCTCCTCGCTGCAAAGTAGTGCTAGCTCTTCCCCCTGCAGTCGTTAGGGCTATTTTGTTGCAATTAGGATTTACTTGGTGCAGTAGCGCCGCTTTCTGGTAAGAAAATCAATTCAGATCAGCGTCCTCTCAAGGCATCCCGAGTAGGGATGTAATAGTGTAGTCCAGTGGTCTCCAATCTTTTTACACCCAAGATCACTTTTTTAAATCTCAGAACAGGCAAAGCTCTACCGCCCCGCCCCTTCATTGAAGCTCCGCCCTCTCTGTTCTCCTCTGCTGTGTCTACATTGGCACCCTTTTCCGGAAAAGGGATGCTAATGAGACAAGTCGGAGTTGCAAATGCCGCGGGGGATTTAAATATCCCCCGCGGCATTTGCATGAACATGGCTGCCGCTTTTTTCCAGCTTGGAGCTTTGCAGGAGAAAAGCACCAGTCTAGACGGGATCTTTTGGAAAATAAAGCCTTTTCCGGAAGATCCCTTATTCCTGAATTTAAGAGGAATAAGGGATCTTCCGGAAAAGGCTTTATTTTCCAAAAGATCCCGTCTAGACTGGTGCTTTTCTCCTGCAAAGCTCCAAGCTGGAAAAAAGCGGCAGCCATGTTCATGCAAATGCCGCGGGGGATATTTAAATCCCCCGCGGCATTTGCAACTCCGACTTGTCTCATTAGCATCCCTTTTCCGGAAAAGGGTGCCAATGTAGACACAGCAGAGGAGAACAGAGAGGGCGGAGCTTCAATGAAGGGGCGGGGCGGTAGAGCTTTGCCTGTTCTGAGATTTAAAAAAGTGATCTTGGGTGTAAAAAGATTGGAGACCACTGGACTACACTATTACATCCCTACTCGGGATGCCTTGAGAGGACGCTGATCTGAATTGATTTTCTTACCAGAAAGCGGCGCTACTGCACCAAGTAAATCCTAATTGCAACAAAATAGCCCTAACGACTGCAGGGGGAAGAGCTAGCACTACTTTGCAGCGAGGAGCAGACGCAAACGAGACAGGGCTATTTCCTATCCAGCCCGCGGTGCAAGGTCAAGAACTTTGCAAACTATCGCACAAAGGCCTCTGTCAGGAGCGGGCGCGGTGGCTTCAACGCTCCGCGCGTACAAGTCACCTGTTCATTTTCCAACGCCCGTAGAGGAGCCAGGTAGGGGAAGCATGAATGAAGCGAGCGTGCAGCCCAGCCGCTGCTTTCAGGGACACGTGGTTTTGGTCTTTCACCTGGAAGCGGGAGATCTTCACCGGGGGCCGTTTCACTGTGGAGCAGCAGAGGACAAAGCAGCTGCGGGTGGAAACCAGCGTGAAAGCCCGGCCCGTCTCGGGCGGGCCCCTGCAGGCCGCGCGCACGGGGGATGGCGTGGGGGTGGGAGAGAACAGAGACGCCTTCGCTGCCCACAGGTGACCGCCTGGTCCTGCAGCCACGCCAGCCCGTCCGCCTCGTTCCCAGCCTCCCCGCCCCTTCGGCTGCGCCTGGCCACTGAGCCGCTGCACCCGGCTGAGCAAGCCGAGAGCCCCTGAGCGGCGAAAAAGTCCCTCTGCCGCCTCACTGGCGAGCAAGGGGTGGCCGCTCCGCGCGCAGCTTTGCCAATGGCCGCAAACGCGGGGAGTTTGGAAACGCGCCCGCCCAGTTCTCGCGCCGCTCCCCGCGGCCCCGCTCCCTGGGTCCGATTTGCATAGGGGCCGCCCAGCCCCGATTCACTGGCGGCCTCAGCGGCCGCTGATTGGTGTCCTTCCCCCGGGTCATTTGCATGTTGTCTGCACACGGGGGTGCCCAGCCGAGGAGTTCGCTCAAAGCTTCTGCAAGGGAGCCGAGCGCCGCTTGCCTCTCTCAGGTTCTCCTGCTGCCTCGCTCCCTAAGGGCTGGAGCGTTGCTCGGGAGAGCTGCCTGGCGTAGGGTCTCTGCTCGTCTTCGGGACCCCGCCTCTCCCTGCCTGCTCAGCACCCCGTTCGCCGGGGAATTGGCCTTGTCTAGAGACGCCGCAGTGACCTGCCCTAGGAGGAGGTTCCTTTGATACCCCCCGGCGGGGACTGTTTTGATACCGACACTCCCCCCTCCTTGTCCTTTCCAGACGGAAAATGAATGATCTCAGCGTGCCTGTGGAATGGAGACAGCTGGCACCCAGCAGCGCCTGAAGGATCCTTTGAAGCAGAAGTGTGAACTTGCCTCTTCTCCGCAATGTTATAAGCTGCCCAGCGGTTCTCTTGGTCGTGCCGGCTTCTCTGGTCCACTAAAAGCAGCAGGGGTCTAGTTTCATCTTCACCTTTCTGCGCCTCTAAGGGGCTGGACCGCAAGTCTTTCCTATGGCTGGGATATACAGCTCTACTCTGAAGACCCTGGAGGATTTAACCTTGGACTCTGGTTATGGGGCAGGAGATTCCTGCAGATCCCTTAGTCTCTCTTCTTCTAAGTCCAACTCCCAAGCCTTCACATCATCTCAGCACAGGGGCAACTGGTGGTACTATTCAGGCTCCATGAACAGTAGGAATAACAGCTGGGATACGGTGAACACTGTTCTGCCAGAAGACCCTGAAGTTGCAGACATCTTTTCCAAGTGTCCTAAACTGCCCGAACTAGAGGAATTCCCTTGGACTGATGAAGACATTGGGAAAATACTCAGAAAAGGAAAGGGGGGTGAAAATAGCAGAAACTTTTCTCAGGAAGCAGTCAGGAGACTCTCTCAGCTACTTAGGAGAGCCCTGATCAGGATCTCCAGAGAGGCCCAACGACTGAGTGTAATGCATTCCAAGTGCACTAGATTCGAGGTCCAAAGTGCCATCAAGCTCATCCAGAGCTGGTCGTTGTCAGAAAGCTGTGTCCTGGCTACTGCCCTGGCTCCTTGAGTGCAGGAGATGGACTGAGGAAAGGCAAGTCAGCCCGATGTGGCCTCACCTTCTCCGTGGGGAGGTTTTTCAGGTGGATGGTGGACACTAGGATCTCCGTAAGGATCCATGAGTATGCAGCTATCTCTTTGACAGCTTGTATAGAGAATCTGGTAGAAGAGATCAAGGCCAGGGTTCTAGCTAGTCAGAGCCCAGATGGAGGAGGAGGAGGAGAAATATCCTCTGAAATCCTGGAGATGGTCATCAACAATGATGCTGAACTTTGGGGAGTATTGCAGCCTTACGAGCATCTCATCTGTGGGAAAAATGCTAATGGTAAGTTGAGTGACTGTTACCATAAAGCTTCTTGTCCTGCACATACTGTGATAGATGCGGGCCTGATTTTTGGCTGCTTTGCACCTGATGTAATAATTTGCAGTTGTAAAAACCCTAGATGCAAAACACTACCAGATCCGAATGGGAGCACATTGCAATCACTGTGCACAGGTGTAAATTGCTATACATGGTGCAACTGCAGTGGGAAAACCAACCCCTTTGTTATGAATAAAAATAAAGGCAGGTGAGACTGCAATTAACTTCTTACCAGCTGCACTCTGAGTTCATTAGCATTACTAAGAGAGAATGAGTGTGTGTGTACCTCCAAGTATTGAGAAAGAAAAGTTGCATTAAGAAACTTTAACTTTGTTTTGATTTAAAAAAAAAAAGCATACTTTTTTTTCCCCTGAAGAAGAGCCTGCCATAAAGGCTAATACTGAGAGCTTTGTGGGGCAAACTTTGTGATCAAGTTGCAGTGGGGCAAATCGAAGATGGATATTGGGAAAAACTATTTCAGTAGGTTACCTAGTGAGGTTGTAGAATCTTCATCCCTAGAGGATTTTAAATCCCTGCTTGACAAAGCCCTGGCTGGGATGATTTAGTTGGGGTTGGTCCTGCAGGGGACTGGATTGGATGACCTCCTGAGGCCTCTTCCAGCCCTATTGATTCTATGATCTTCAGTATATTTTCCCCTGATATAGCTAATAAAAGGCAAAACAATGATAAGGCTGTTTTTTCCCCAAAATAACTGTACAACTTCTGAGCTAACAACACTTTATTCAGGATCTGTTCTTGTCAAGATTATAGTGCATACTATGTATATGTAAATTACACCAATTGGCACATAACTCACTTAATTGAGGATTATAGCACAGTTTTTGATTAAATAACACAACATAGTATTGTATCTACCCCTGTAATCTGATTAGGCCCTTCAACAGATTAGCAGATAGAGGAAAATGCCAGCATTATTCTACTAATACTGAAAGATACAATGTTTATTTTAATTTATTTTACAGTTCTTTGGGGAAACTTGCAATATTTGCCTTTGAACTGTATCATTAGATGTCAAAGAGCAACTCATATCCCATGTAAAAGTTTGAGAAGCATTGAGCCTATTAAGAAAGGGTTTGTCAGTTAAGGTTACTGTGTCTTTATTTGAAGTCGTACACAATTGTGACATTAATAACTTCAGTTTAGGGAACAAGCAAAAGGAGCAGATCTACCCTTAAGAAATAAAGATCATGTTCTCATTTGAATGTCAGCAATGAAATGCCATGCAGTTAAATAGAGGAGGAAATCCTGCTCTGTGTTGTACAGGTGTATTAAAGAAAATAACTAACCTCTTGCACCTGTACGATTACTCCTTAGGTAAACAATAAGACTGTCTCAGAGCGCTAGGAAAAAGGCTTAATTTCTGTGGGCAATAAATTGTGCTCATTAGTGTGTGTTCTCTCTTCCTCACCTTAGCCAGGCTTGATCCAGCCTGTTCAGCACAACCACCACATACATGAACCACCATCACTCTATGCCTTATTTCCCAACACCTGTCTCTATTAGATAGGGACAGAGTGTTTCCAATATGAGGGAGAGAAATACAGGTAATATGCTATATATGCAGAATTCTCTCTAAATAGGATGGCCTTTTGGATTTGATTTGGGGGGGCACTGGTGGAATCCATAACTGCAAATTATATCAAGTGAAATATACAAATGCATTGACCTTGTTTGTAAACCTCAGCTCTTTAGTGTCAGGACTGTATTTTCCTCTGCTGAGAAAATACCTAGGACATTTTGGCTGCCACCAAAACAATAACAGATAATTCTATGCAGGCCATGTGAACATTTGTAGTTTAGGATCTATATGGAAGGACAGAATAATTCTCTTCTACCTGTCCCTCTCATCTGGAGTAAAATATGTCATATGATTCTATTGGAAAGAATTATCCTTTAGGTAACCATATTCTTTGTTCAGTTTTTGGCACACAGTTTCTGTGTTTTGAGATTAAGAGGTGACTGAAAGAGTATGTTAATCCTGTTTGTTGCTGACTTATAAAGTCTCCTCGCCTGAACAGAAATCTCCTTTTGGAATAACAACAATGAATGAATGGAGGCTGGTGTTTGATGGAAACATAAACAGCTATGCAAGGAAAGGGTTATAAATATTCAAAACACCAAGTGTTCAGCTGATAACACTCATGCAATTGAATTCTAAGCAATGACTGGCCATGGAAAAGGATAGCTCCTTTGCCTTTTTTTGTGGTTTCTGTCTTGCTGAACATTTCTTTCAATAAATACATTTACTTTCTATTCTACTTGCAGTGTAGAGTGCCTTCAGGTGTGTTTAATTCAGTTTGATGTGACCATTTATCTAATGTGAAACACAAGAATTAGTGACTCTTCTAATGTCCATTCTTGCAATTATAAGTCAAAGATGACATGCTGCACTGTACATTTGGCTAAAAATATTAAATGGCTGAAATGAATATGTAACTAATATAGTACTATAGATCCTGCAACAGCATACTGTGGGTGGAGTCACTTGCACTTACAAGAAGCTTAGCCACTGTGCAAATTCTGAGCTTGGTTACATTAGTAGAAATGTGGGGCAATTAAATTCAATTCAGTGTAATTATTTGACCTTTGCAATAATACTAAGAGAAACACTTGGCTCATTATGTTCAGCAGTCTGGAAAAAACTTAACAAACAAGAATTTGTATACAAAAGAAATCACTTCTAGGCATTGATTTTCAATACAGAAACACATGTAGAGAGTGACTTGTCCATTTCTTCATCAATACAAACACCTGCATGGCTCATCAGTAAACCCTAGTTTATTATTGCACTGGGCATCTTCAAAGATGAAATTAATTAAAGAGAAGATGTAGAATATGAAATTAATTAAATTGTGAAAATCTCAAAAAATGCCATCAATAGAAGATCAAGAAGTAGCATGTGATGTTAAAGAATGATAAAGCCAACTATCTTCAGTAGCTAGGCTCTTTTTTTTTTTTTTTTCTAATTTTGAATTGTTGATACCTACACTTGCTGTGGTCTGGCCCTGCAGTCTTTGCATACTCAAATTTCCTTATGGCAACAAATGTGCAAGAACTTCAGGATCATGTGTTAAAACTCTAAACCAGGCTTTTAGTTAGGTCAGATTTTCATTTGTTTTCCAGGAACATTAGCTTGGGGCACAGAAGCAAATTCTTGATCTTTACAAAAAGTGCGATGGGACTGTTCATGACGCATGGATAGATAGGATCTCCATTTAGGTTGGCTTCAACATAGCTGTCCTGTTCTGACTTTTCTGGACTTACAGTTTTGAGTTGAAAATCCATCTCTAACATTAGGTGGAAAGTTTCCTTGGGGACAAATGATCCCATTCCTACCCCCCACCTGAAAGGTTTCATGTACCCTCTTGAAACAGCTGGTACTGGCTGCTCTCTGTGATAGTTCACTTGAGGAGAAGGACCATGGATGTGATTCTGTATTGTGGCTTTTTATGCTGGTGTGTTTGTTCTCTTATGTTGTATGTAGATGAATTGACTCATTTATTATTCATTATACTAAGCTGTAAGAACTCCAGAAATGCTTTTGAGCCAGCATTATCACTCCATCTGTTAAGCACAGCACTTATTGTACTTAACCAACTGAATACTCCTGAATGGTTCCTGGGGCATCCAGGTGGAATGCACTTGCTGTGTCCTAATATACCATAGATGATAATGCTACAGTTATTGCAGAATTCAAAAGAAAAAGGGTCGTTAACAGCTTGAGTGCTCCCAAACACAGCTGGCAGGTAAGGCAGCTCAAGTGATGCTTAAGTAGGAACTTTGCTTTGAAGTATCAATATGTTAGCAAGAAAGGGATTAAGGTCCCAGAACAAGCTATACTAGTTTCTCTGCAAAAAAAACCAACCACCATGTCCTTTATTCAGGATATTTTAGAACAACTTAGCCAAATCATTTGCTGATATCACTTTAGTGGAGTTGCAGTAGGGATGAATTTGGTCTAGTATGATATTATATATTAAGAGCAGCTACTGTCTGGAAACTAAAAGCCCCATATTTGGTCAGTAACTTTTGTTTTATATTTCTCCACACACACAAAACTCCACACAGTCCTGATTTTAATTTCCTAGCTCTTATAGAAGTGTATCCCTATTCATGTTTATTAACTTTTTTTTAGTTTAATATCATATATTTAACATGCTAACCCCTGCTGAAATCCATGTATAGTGCCTATGCACTGAATAAGGAAAACACCTTGTAAAGTGTGGTTTATTCAGACTGCTTGCTAGTTTTCATAATGTCTCATTAATTCTAACAAGCTAATTATTACTGCTACAGATCAAAAAAACTGTATGTCATCAGGAATAGGGATGTGTTAGTATGCGCAATTAAATGGTTACTCGCAAGCCTCCCCCCCTCCCTTTCTGGGCTGCTATCTCTGTATCAAAGGCAACTGTGGGGAAGGGGTCAGACAGGAGCTACCTGAAACCTCTCCACCCCCTCTGCCCCCCCCCCCGCACTTCTGCCTCTCTGAGAGGGGGGGCAGGCAGCTCCATCAGAGCTGGTATATGTGTGTGGAGTCGGAGTTCCCTCCCTTCCCCTACACATGTAAATGTGTAACTGCTGAAAATTTCAGCGGTTACATGTTACAAAACCCCCTGCATTTTAACATCCCTAATCAGGAAGTGTATGCGTGAGAGTGAATAGCTGGAAACATAAGTGGAATAAAACAGTTTTAGGACCGTTACTGCTACTGTACTTTTTTAATTGTCCCCTTCAGTGGGCCATGAATCAATTTTAAAATGGAACTTTTTCCTATGTTTGACCCCTTCTCTGTGTTAGGGGATACTCTCCCTGAACAAAATCTGTACAGCGCTTTTGGTCAGGTGGCAATATGTGTTCACCCAGGTACTGTGTCTCATCTTTACTCTGGCCTATCTTGAGTCTTTGGTGGTTTCTTAGGCAAGGCCTATACTATTGGAGAA